TGTTCACTACTATCTATAAAATTATTCCGAAGGCTTTGGAATGCAATAAAATGAGCTTGACAGGGTTTCCAAGGATTTACTTATTTCAGAGGATTTTCTTATTCATTCCCTGTCTCCTCCTTCCCCCAATACCCCACATACGTTTGTATATGTGCAAAACGGTGGCATTAGTGAGCGAATCTCGAAACTTTTAATCGGCAGTCAAAGGATTAATTAGAAACCGTACAAATTATCAAGATAAGCGTTAATGTTCGCATATTATTTTATGTATGGAAAGCCTGTGGGGTCACTAGTAATTATTAAACTTATTCTTAACTTAGTATTGTTAAATTAACTATTGTGCAGTACTTATACATTTATAAGTGTATTATAAATGTATGCGGCGTATATAAACGTCTCACTCAGTGTGAATTTCCCCGGACGTATATATACGTCTTTCAGAAAAACGATCTTTTCTGTTCACTACTATCTATAAAATTATTCCGAAGGCTTTGGAATATATATCAGTGCAAATGTTATTTATTTATTTTTTTATTATGTCAGAATGTATTTTGTTTGTTTACTTTCAATAAATTAATAATTTTTTTAAATAATCCTTTGTTTTTTCGACTTTTCAATATGCTCGCCCCCCCCCTCCTTGAGAAGCGCTCGTTTAAGAAGAAGAAACTGGATGCTTCTTTCTCATTAAAATTTTTTCAAATTATTTGTTTATACCTTGAGGATCTAATAGGAATTCAAATAATATATATGTATTTTATATAGTTTGATTTTGATCACATGGAACAAATTTATATCATTTCTTAATTATACATATAACTTAAATTTTAAGAGGAGTTGGAACCTCTGTCTCTCTCTCTATACTGACAATGTTAAATTGGCTGTTTTCGATGTACCTTTTCTCAAAATCTGTTACATGTACATGCTTGAAATTTTTCATACTATTAAAGTACACCTCTCTTATTATACTAAAATGAGCTTTCAGCTAATTTTGAATTTTTTAAGAAATTATGAAATATTTTATCAAACATTGCGTAATTTGACTCATTTTTTACTTAAAAAATTTGTAAAAATTAAATTTTTGAGTGTTTTAAAAAAAAGCTCATTTTAGTATATATTAGACATCATTATAAATAATTCATAAAAAATTTACATACCAGTGAACAGTAGTTTCTCAGAAAAGGTACATCGCACATTAAAATTTACATTTTGAGATAAATTGATTTTAATGTATACAGTGAGACTTCTAATCGGCTGGGAAATAAAAAAAATAAAAGGCTCAATTTAAAATAAAAGATACATGTTTATAATAAAAGATACACTTTTAAGCAAAAACAAAGTAATTTGTTTACAATTTTCGCCATTAAAATGGGCGTGGCCCGAATTCAACGAATATTTAAAAATACATTTTAAAGGCTTCTAAATACCCCAGAGGTTCAAGTAAGGTATTTTTAGAAAGGTTAAAATCTATACAATTTGAAAATGTAAAAATCTCAAATTATCAAAAAAATAAGATTTTAAGCTTTCCAACACCCCTTACGTACACACACACACACACACACAGACAGTAAAAATTTATTTCTCTGGGAATTTTATTTATGACTGAAAATTAGCAAATCATATTAAAAGCCCTTAATTTTAATAAAACTAATTTTCTTCGAACCTTTCACACGTTATTAATTTTTATTTCTTGTACTATAAAGTTGCGTTGTGAATATTTTTTACTGCACTTGAAGGTTTTTAAACCAATGCACAAAATATTATTCAATTTGCTTTAAAATATGTTTCGACGAAAATTCTTCTGTAGTGAGTATTCTTTTTTACATGGTGAATATTTTTCTTCACTTGAATGTTTTTCAATTAATGCATAAAATATTATTAAATTTGTTTATCTTCACGAAATTTCTTCTGTAGCAAAGAAAAGAAAGACAAAAAGGGTTTTTTTTTCGAAATATTGGGTCAAAATAAATCTAATAATGTATTAAGATTTTCTCATAAAATAACATATATACTTTTACTTTTTTCTACTTCGTAAACAAAAACTCAAAGGTGCTTTTATCATAATTACTATAAATAAAATGTTAACGAAGCTTGAGTAATTTATCCTAATTTGAATTTTAATTATAACCGTTTGCTTATAGAATATTTTTTACTGCCAAATTTTATTCTATAAATCCAGAAAAATAAAGATTTTTTTAAAAAACCCCGAAAAATAAAAAAAAATATATATATATATATATATATATATATATATATATATATATATATATATATATATATATATATATATATATATATATATAGTAGGACCCCGAAGTAACGAAATTTTTCAACAACTGTAAAAAAAATTTTTAGGTATTACCGTAAAATCCGGCGTATAACGCGCACTTTCAAAAGAAAAAATAAAATCGAAATTTACGGATGAGCGTTATACGCCGGATATAAAAATGAGAGCTTTAAAAATAAGAAAAGAGAAGAGCAAGCATAGAAAAAAATTAGAATTCTACATATATTGAAATATTGTTTTTTAAAAGAAATGACATTCGTTATGAACTTAAAAAGTTGTAGCTCTAGAAGTATACTTTTTTTTCTAAAGCTTGGAATAATAACCTCGAATAAATGACTTCAAAACATACGAACATTTATCAGGCACATTTCATGTTTCTTCGCAAAAAAAAGGACGAATATACCTAAAAACTAAAAATTGCAGCTTGAAAGTATAGGTAGTCTTATACGCCCGATTTTAAGGTATTAGAAAAAATTGGATTTTTTTTTCTTTTTTCAAATGAAATATCCTTTTTGTTCGGAGCAGAAAAAGACTTTTCTTGTAAGCAGCAAATTTTGACGGGAAAGGGTACTATTAGAGAATTATTAGACTTTACAGGTCATGAGCGTAATCTATCGTGTGAGTTTTGAATAGGATAGGAAATTCCTTTCTTATATCAACCCACTCCACAACGCAGGGGAAATTTTGACGATTACGTTACATTTGACAACAGACTGCCTATCTGTGCAATTGAAGTTGAGGAAATTACTGATTTGTAGGTTGATTGATTGATTTAATATTAACGTCGCACTGTTCAGCTACACGAGGGCTTTTGGCGACGGACCACGTAATTTTGAACCATGGTCAAGTGACGTGGACGACACCTGAGCTGGCACCCCCCTCTCCTAACTACCACACCACACCAACGGGAGGACGTTTCAGCTCTCGACAGATTTAACGTGCATCGCTGCCCTACACGGCGGGTCTTTAGTGGTACTGGGATCGAACTCGTGACCAGGCAAGCCACGATCCGATACCTATACCACTCGGCTACCGCGGCTACTGATTTGTAGGAGCGAATGAATAACGATTCTGATGCATAAATCGATAATGAAAGTATTATCCAAAATGGCATGATCAGAAACTATGAAACCATACCTCAAGAAGCAGGATTTAAATAACGCAGTATATTTTTCTCTACATAAAGTCCAAAAAGAACTCTTTCGAGCCAGGAATCAAAGAGATTACCAAACATTTATCAGTCAGTATTTTAAAATTTCCAATTAACTGGAGTGCAATAATTTACTAATAGTATTTTTAGCTGTTGAATAAAAAGTGTGTAATTTCTAACTATGGATATTTTTTGTGTAGTTGTTTATTATAGAGTTTCCAAAAGGTAAGAGCAAAAAATTTGTATTTTGTTAAAATCCCGAAATAACGAATAACCCCGAATTAACGAACAAAATATTAGGTCCCGATGATCTCGTTTAATTGGAGTTTGGCTGTATATATATATATATATATTAAACAGAACAAAGAAAGATCCCAATTTCATTTTGCTTGTATCGACGTTGAGCCACATCAACACAAAAACCTGCTGAACCTCGAACAATATTCATATGGGAAATGACATTAGCAGGAAAATCATGAATTAAATTTCAACATCAAGAAGTGTGAGAATTTTGAAACTTGGTTTGAAGTAACGTTCGTTAGCCTCTGCTGTTTTTTAGTGGTATAAGAAATTTATTTCATTCACGACTTCTATCCCATAAAAATTCATTTTTTAAGATTACTTACGAAATTCAAACTCATGATAGCTTCAACGTAAGTGTAATTTAAATTAAATTAAATCTTTTCTAATGAAGTGCAAGCCATAAACACTTTAAGATAGGAACTCATGAACTATTGTTGAAAGCACAAAAAGAGCACAAAATTCGAATCTTGAAGATACATCTTTTTTTTTGTTGCGAGTGGAAAGTACTCCACTTCCCTCCCATGTGATTATGTTTACATCATTAGATACAGGAGGAAGCGGAAAAGGAAATGGAATGAGTTGTTCTGAACTACTAAAAGGAAACGAGACTAAAAGTTCTTTGGGACACTTGATCGAAAATGAAATTAAAATAGAATGCAGAAGTCTTTAACATGCTCAAACACACTCAAAAGGCAATTAAGAGTGCATTTGATAAATAAGGTCGAAATTGTATATATATATATGTGTGTTAAGGTGACTGATTACATTCGAAACCGTGATTTTGAAAAAGAGTATAAATGGATTATTTTTTTTTTTTATTGAGTAGTGTCAATTGAATAAGAATGTATTTACTGTAAAATCCGGCGTATAATGTGCACCTATACTTTCAAGCTGCATTTTTAAATTTTTAGGAATATTAGCCGTAAAACACGCAACCTCTTTTTTACGAAGAAATCTGAAATATTAGTATACATTGCTCTTATGTTTTGAAGTCATTTATTCGAGATATTATTTAAAGATTCAAAAAACAAGTAATATAAAAAAATTTTAAGTCAATTCCTACTTAGGTCAACAAAGAAAATTTTATTTTAGTTACTTTTTATTAAAAAATTACAATTAAAATAAATATGTACAACCTATGACAGAATCACAATATTAAGCGGCAAAATAGAAAGCGATTTTCCTTTCTATATAGGGTGTTGGACTAATATTTTTGTTTGTTACTATTTATTACTTCATTAATAACGTTTTCAGAAATTAGGTCATCCCAGATAGTATTCGAAGCGACGATCTTTGAATTAGAAGTCCAACGCGCTATCCATTGCGCTACACGGACACAACGAGCGATTTTCCTTTTTATATAGGGTGTTGAACTATTATTTTTGTTTGTTACCATTTATTCATTTTTTTGATTTAATTACTGAATTAATATTTGAAAAAATGTGTTAACATCAAGTATATCCACTATAAGTTTAAAAACATGTATTTGAACTTGAATGGATGAACATCAAAATCCAGATCCAGACAAACAAATAACGAGAAATTTGGTGCACGTATACAAAATTACATGGGGAAGGTTCTTAAACAGGTTTCGCGTTCGTAATTCCTTCTAATTTTTTTAAAATTTAATTTTTAAGTGATTTTCCAGTGTTATGACGTCATATGATGTCACGTTTCTCACTAAGTGGAAAATTTATGCTTTACACGCAGTTTTTCAAGATAATTACATATTTTTACTATAGCTTTATTTATCAGTTGGAATATTTATTCAATTTTTCTATTCTATGATATTTAATTAGGGTTATTTTTCGAATAAATAATTTTTTTAAGGATTATTCTTTCAACAACTAAAATTTTGTTTTGTTGTTGTGGCAACATTTAGGTATTATCGCGGGATGTTTATGTGTGTGATTTTGCTTACAAATTACAACTTATTTATTTATTTCTTTAGAATGCGAAGATTATAATTTTGACAAACTAAAACTTCTCATTGATAAGGGTTATACTTCAGTTCGGTTCAAGTGTAGTATAGGGGGACCACTTTGGATTTGGCGATTTTTCTTCGGATTTTCGATTTTTATCTAAATGCCATGGTGAGATATCGAATTCATTCTAAAATAAATAATACCAAAAAAAGTACCTTGGCGACCACTTTTAGTCACCAAAATAAAGGACTGCGCCAAGTAGCCCCCTATACTACACTTATCCAATAATATGGCTCTTTGCAATTTCATGTGTCTTTATTTTAACTTTTAAGGGTATATTATCGGCTTCAGTGCATAAAATTGCCATGCAGAAAATCAAACTTGGGTAATCATACTGCCCAAGCAAAAGCAGTGTTGGTAGTAATTACATATCAAACTGGAATAGGCATCAGAGAATGATCAAAACAGACAAATGGCTTAAATACCTGTTGAGGAAGCAAATAGCCGTATTTAAGGGTATACTATTGGCAACAGTGCATAAAATTGCCTTGCAGAAAATCAAACTTGGGTAATCATACTGCCCAAGCAAAAGCAGTGTTGGTAGTAATTACATATCAAACTGGAATAGGCATCAGAGAATGATCAAAACAGACAAATGGCTTAAATACCTGTTGAGGAAGCAAATAGCCCTATTTAAGGGTATACTATTGGCAACAGTGCATAAAATTGCCTTGCAGAAAATCAAACTTGGGTAATCATACTGCCCAAGCAAAAGCAGTGTTGGTAGTAATTACATATCAAACTGGAATAGGCATCAGAGAATGATCAAAACAGACAAATGGCTTAAATACCTGTTGAGGAAGCAAATAGCCCTATTTAAGGGTATACTATTGGCAACAGTGCATAAAATTGTCTTGCAGAAAATCAAACTTGGGTAATCATACTGCCCAAGCAAAAGCAGTGTTGGTAGTAATTACATATCAAACTGGAATAGGCATCAGAGAATGATCAAAACAGACAAATGGCTTAAATACCTGTTGAGGAAGCAAATAGCCCTATTTAAGGGTATACTATTGGCAACAGTGCATAAAATTGCCTTGCAGAAAATCAAACTTGGGTAATCATACTGCCCAAGCAAAAGCAGTGTTGGTAGTAATTACATATCAAACTGGAATAGGCATCAGAGAATGATCAAAACAGACAAATGGCTTAAATACCTGTTGAGGAAGCAAATAGCCCTATTTAAGGGTATACTATTGGCAACAGTGCATAAAATTGTCTTGCAGAAAATCAAACTTGGGTAATCATATTGCCCAAGCAAAAGCAGTGTTAGTAGTAATAGTTATCAGAGAATGAGCAAAACAGACAAATGGCTTAAATACCTGTTGAGGAAGCAGATAGTCGTAAGATAAATTATTTTTGGAACTTATGTACTATCCGAACAATCGCCAACGTTCAAAATAACTTGCCAAGTTGGCAACCCCGATTTCGCATGTCATATATATGCTGAATTGTGAGTCATGTGCTTTGTTTCATATAATGTCGCCAATAGGTTGCGGTTATATGTAAGTACCTTATTTTTTCAAATTATGCTTTTGCATTGATAAAGTTCAGTTCTTTTATGTCAGTTAATGTTAGTATTGTACTTCATTTTTCAATTTATTTTTATGCTCGGGATATATATACTTTGGATAATTTTTTTAGTACTTGCATATTATTGCACAATCGCCAACGTTCAAGACAACTCGCCACTTTGGCAATCCCAACTTTGTATGCGTTGAATTGGCAATCATGGGCTTCATTTTGTATAATGTCACCAATAGGTTGCGATAATACATAAGTACCTCTAATTCTGTACATTACTATAACATTAGACTGGCTGCAACATACCAATTTGGCGTGATTTCAGAATCATGCCAAAAATGAGTATGTTGAGGAAGCAGGTAGTCGTAAGATAAATTATTTTTGGCACCTATGTACTATCCTAACAATCGCCAACATTCAAAATAACTTGCCAAGTTGGCAACCCTGATTTCGCATGTCATATATATGCTGAATTGTGAGTCATGTGCTTTGTTTCATATAATGTCGCCAAAAGGTTGGGGTTATATGTAAATACCTTATTTTTTCAAATTATGCTTTTGCATTGATAAAGTTAGTTCAGTTCTTTTTATGTCAGTTAATGTTAGTATTGTACTTCATTTTTCAATTTATTTTTATGCTCGGGATATATATACTTTGATAATTTTTTTTTTTAGTACTTGCATATTATTGCACAATCGCCAACGTTCAAGACAACTCGCCACTTTGGCAATCCCAACTTTGTATGCGTTGAATTGGCAATCATGTGCTTCATTTTGTATAATGTCACCAATAGGTTGCAATAATACGTAAGTACCTTTAATTCTGTACATTACTATAACATTAGACTGGCCGCTGCATACCAATTTGGCGTGACTTCAAAATCATGCTAAAAATGAGTAGCGAACTAATATGAAATTAATATTATGAGTATTATCTTAGCCTGTTTTATCTTTCCCTCCAGTAATCCTTAATTAATTCAATATATAATTTTTGTTTTTCTTTATATTTTAGTACTTACATTTTTTTGGTTATTATGTACTGCAAATATTTTTTTCACATTGTGATGTCTTTGGCAAAATAAATCAGTGGTATTTTTCTTAAATATGTTTTTTTTATCTGTTTTTGACTATTTTTAAAATTTTGTTTGATGTCTGTCTGAAATGCAAATAGCAAAATAAATATTTTACAATATATATATTGTGTTTGTACGAAAATGTTTATACTAATTAAATCAAAATATTGAGCCATCTTTTATTTTTGATATCTTTTTAAGATTTAATTTTATAACTAGCTATACCCAGCTAAATGCTGTGGCTCAGTCAGCTTTAAAAGACTGGTACACCATAAAGTATGTCATGAGGCTTACAAACGTAATAATACACAAGAATTCAAACAAATCTATATACATATAAGACACATTTGTTGTCTGTCTGAATAAACTTTCTCCTTCACACTACATCATTTGGACAAATTTTCAAAATTTGTTTGTGTGGTTAGTAGTTAATTATAACACTATAATTTTAATTGAATAGGTAGATATTGCATTTTTAAGTATAAAAATAACTATAACATCTGTACTGTATTCTTTGGAGTGAGTGAATATTAACGTCGCACTGTTCAGCTACACGAGGGCTTTTGGCGACGGACCACGTAATTTTGAACCATGGTCAAGTGATGTGGACGACACCTGAGCTGGCACCCCGTTCTCCTAACTACCCCGCCACACCAATTTAGCAGGAATATTCTACCAATACTTAGCTGGAATATTCTTTGAAATCCACTCTTCCAAGATATATGACAGCACGGGTTCTATGATGAGTATTTTAGCGGGGAAGGTGAATAGTTTTGTAGCAGATATTTCATTTTCAGCTGACGGCGTTTTCAGCGGATTGCAAAGATTATAATTTTTTCCCCAAAAAATAGTTAATGTCAAAATTTAAGTGTCCTATGTTTTTGTATGTTTATGGAGACCTTAGAAAACGATTTGACTATTTTTTTAAGTGAACGGTGTATATAATTAATTTTACAGTGGAATATCTTTAATTAATTTATTAGCTCTAACCGATTAAATTTCCCTAAGTCGAGTATTTTGTTTATGTATGTCCCTTAATTTTCAATGTAGTGACCTAAAAAAAATATTGCATGAAAAAAATTGCAGTAAATCATAATGCGGTAGATAAAGCATTAACGTGCATCGCTCTCCTACACGGCGGGTCTTACAAAGCTCTAATAAAGTTTGAGCTATGAAAGTAGCTAGACATTTGCCAACTTGACTCTATCGTCAACATTTTGCTATGTTTTTTCATTAAATCGCTATTGTTATTTAGGAAACGGCGTTGCTTGCGAGTATTACAATTTTAACATAAAATAAATTCAACAGAAAGTAATATTAATGTATGACACTTTCAGATATAAATTATTTACAATATTTTAAGCGTCACAAAACTTTTAACAATGTGTTACTTTTGCTGAGCAGAGATCAGCTTAGGGAGGTATTTTCAAAAATCGACCCTCAAGAGTGTTACTGGGAGTTATAAATATAAAAAAAAATCCTTTTTGTCAGCTATTAAATCTACAAACTTAAAATTTAACAAAGGTATTTTTTTCTTTCTTTTTTTTTCTTCATCTGAGATATGCGAAAAGCTTTTTCTGTTTAATTTGCAATTCACGTAAAATTAACTCATTAAAAACTTCTTTATCCTTCAATCTGTGTTGTTTAATTTTTTCAGTTCACCCGTGCGAAGAACGGGTATACCAGCTAGTATATATACACACACGCACACACACACACACACACACACACACACACACACACACACACATATAT